TATATACATAGAAGATAATTTAATGTATAAAATTTGACAGCATTTTACACCAAACTGGGCTGGCAGCTGGGGTAGCCAGGCATTTTTTAGCCACTCCTCTCGATGACCTCTTCTCATAGTTATTTAAAAAAAAGCTGATTAAATGGCTTTAACTTATCATGACACACATTTGTGGCAGTTTGTTCTTCAGTCATTTTCCATGAAGAACCAACTGGGTAAAACAAACAACTGTTCCAGACCCAGTTTGAATAATAATTATTATAATTAATTTCACATTTTGGGAACATGCACCACTAGCAAAGCACCATCAACTGAAATTGTAGTCAGTCAGAATGAACAGTGCATACACACACATATATACACTGTGTTCCAAATTATTATGCAAATATGATTTCAATTTAAAAAAACATTAGCTTTTTGTTTTTCAATGACAGTTTTCAATTGTGCTGCTTCCCATGTCTGTTTAGATCACTGACATCAATCTCAGACAGGTTTGTCTTTATTAGTTTGCCAGGTGAGCCTAATTAATGGGAAACTACTTAAGGATGTTGTTCCACATTATTAAGCAAGTCACAGGTTTCATGCAATATAGGGGGAAAAAATATCTTTCTGCAGATGAAAAGCGTGAAATAGTGCAGTATCTTTCAATAGGTGTGAAACCACTGGATATTTTTTACGAAATATTAAGAGAGATCATCATCCTGTGAAAAGATTTGTGTCTGATTCAGAGCGCAAATGGGTTCGTTCTGATAAAGGCGTGTTAAGGAAAGTTTCTGTAAGGCTAATTCATCGTATTAAGTGAGCAGCTGTGAAAAAGCCACTGATGAGTAGTAAAAAAGGTATTTGAAGCTGGTGGTGCCTCTGGAGTCCCAAGATCCTCTCGACGCAGGATCCTCCAGAGGCTTGCTGATGTGCATAAAGCTGTATTTCGGCCACCCTTAAACAATGCCCACAAAGAGACATGATTGCAGTGGGCTCAGAAATACATGAAGACTAATTGTCTAACAGTTTTATTCACTGATGTATGCCGTGCTACACTGGATGGTCCAGATGGATGGAGTTCTGGATGGCCAGAAACTTTAGAAACTATTAAGTGTTTTGAAACTCTGTTTTGCATAATAATTTGGAACACTGTATTTTGAGTTATTTAGCAAAAAATGCCATTGTCATCATTGGTAATTGTGTTTAATAGAATGCAGATTACGATGTAATTGTTGAGGAATAAAACATCCTATTGACTGGCAATTATATCGACCATTTAGAGCAAAAAGAACAAAAATGCATAATAATTTGGAACACAGTGTAGGCACTGTACATTCTGACACACTACACTACCAGTCAAAAGTTTGGACAGACCTTCTCATTTAATGCTTTTTCTTTATTTTCATGACTATTTACATTGTAGATTCTCACTGAAGGCATCAAAACTATGAAGGAACACATATGGAATTATGTAGTAAACAAAAAAGTGTGCAATAACTCAAAACATGTTTTATATTTTAGATTCTTCAAAATAGCCACCCTTTGCTTTGATTACTGCTTTGCACACTCTTGGCATTCTCTCGATGAGCTTCATGAGGTAGTCACCTGAAATGGTTTTCCAACAGTCTTGAAGGAGTTCCCAGAGATGCTGAGCACTTGTTGACCCTTTTGCCTTCACTCTGCGGTCCATCTCATCCCAAACCATCTCGATTGGGTTTAGGTCAGGTGACTGTGGAGGCCAGATCATCTGGCGCAGCACTCCATCACTCTCTTTCTTGGTCAAATAGCCCTTACACAGCCTGGAGGTGTGTTGGGGTCATTGTCCTGTTGAAAAATAAATGATGGTCCAACTAAACGCAAACCGGATGGGATGGCATGATGCTGTAGGATGCTGTGGTAGCCATGCTGGTTCAGTGTGCCTTCAATTTTGAATAAACAACAGTGTCACCAGCAAAGCACCCCCACACCATCACACCTCCTCCTCCATGCTTCACGGTGGGAACCATGCATGTAGAGACCTTCCGTTGACCTTTTCTGCATCGCACAAAGACACGGCGGGTGGAAGATCTCAAATTTGGACTCATCAGACCAAAGCACAGATTTCCTTCTGGTCTAATGTCCATTCCTTGTGTTTCTTGGCCCAAACAAATCTCTTCTGCTTGTTGCTTTTCCTTAGTAGTGGTTTTTTAGCAGCTATTTGACCATAAAGGCCTGCTTCGCGCAGTCTCCTCTGAACAGTTGATGTAGAGATGTGTCTGCTAATAGAACTCTGTGTGGCATTCATCTGGGCTCTAATCTGAGGTGCTGTTAACTTGCGCTTTCTGAGGCTGGTGACTCAGATGAACTTATCCTCAGCAGCAGAGGTGACTCTTGGTCTTCTTTTCCTGGGTCGGTCCTCATGTGAGCCAGTTTCGTCGTAGCGCTTGATGGTTTTTGCGACTGCACTTGGGGACACATTCAAAGTTTTTGCAATTTTCCGGACTGACTGACCTTCAGTTCTTAAAGTATTGATGGAATGTCGTTTCTCTTTACTTAGCTGATTGGATCTTGCCATAATATGAATTCTAACAGTTGTCAAATAGGGCTGTCAACTGTGTACCAACCTGACTTCTGCACAACACATCTGATGGTCCCAACCCCATTAAGAAGGCAAGAAATTCCACAAATGAACCCTGACAAGGCACACCTGTGAAGTGAAAACCATTTCAGGTGACCCCAAAAACCTTAGAGACTCACTGTCTAAAGATATAGTTACTCTAGATGGCATTACCTTGGCCTCTAGCACCACTGTCAGGAATCTTGGAGTTATCTTTGATCAGGATTTGTCATTGAACTCCCACATAAAGCAGACCTCCAGGACTGCCTTCTTTCATTTATGTTATATTACAAAGATTAGACACATCCTATCACAGACAGATGCAGAAAAACTAATCCATGCATTTGTTACTTCAAGGCTGGATTACTGCAACTCTTTATTATCAGGTTGCCCCAATAAGTCCATTAAAACGCTCCAATTAATTCAGAACGCTGCAGCACGAGTACTGACAGGAAATAGAAAAAGAGATCACATCTCTCCTGTACTAGCTTCTCTGCACTGGCTCCCTGTAAAATGTAGAATAGAATTTAAAATCCTCCTCCTCACCTATCAGGTCAGGCCCCTTCATATCTTAAAGAGCTCATAGTACCCTATTACCCCTCTAGAACACTACGTTCTCTGAATGCTGGGCTACTTGTGGTTCCTATAGTCTCTAAAAGTAGAACAGGAGCCAGAGCCTTCAGTTACCAAGCTCCTCTCCTATGGAACCAGCTTCCAGTTGTGGTTCGGGAGGCAGACACCCTCACCACATTTAAGAGTAGGCTTAAGACATTCTTCTTTGATAAAGCTTATAGTTAGGGCTGGATCAGGTGAGTCCTGAACCATCCCTTAGTTATGCTGCTATAGGCCTAGACTATCGGGGGATTTCCCATGGTGCACTGAGCTCCTCTCTTCATCTCTCTTTCTGCACTCATTCATGTCCCATTTATGCATGTTACTAACTTCACTTCTTCCCCGGAGTTCTTGTGCTTTCTCGTCTCGCAGGTTCTTATCGATCCTGGTGGAGCCTCCTGCCATGGTCCTGCTAGATTGCCATTACCAATACTGTTGTTGCTGTGCACCTGTCTGTCTGTCTCTCTGTCTCTCTCTCTCTCACACCCCAACTGGTCGAGACAGACGACCACCCACCTAGAGCCAAAGGATCTGTCCTAGGTTTCTGCCTTTTAACAGGCAGTTTTTCCTTGCCCTTGTCGCCAAGTGCTTGCTCGTGGTAGTACTGTTGGGTCTCTGTAAATAATGTATAAAAAGAGTTTGGTCTAGACCTGCTCTATTTGAAAAGTGTCCTGAGATAACTTCTGTTATGAATTGGCGCTATACAAATAAAATTGAATTGAATTGAATTGAATTGAATACATCATGAAGCTCATTGAGAGAAGGCCAAGGGTTTGCAGCGCTGTCAACAAAGCAAAGGGTGGCTACTTTGAGGAATCTAAAATATGAAACATATTTAGAGTTATTTCACACTTTTGTGTTTACTACATAATTCCATATGTGTTCATTCATAGTTTTGATGCCTTCAGTGAGAATCTAAAATGTAAATAGTCATGAAAATAAAGAAAAAGCATTAAATGAGAAGGTCTGTCCAAACTTTTGACTGGTATTGTATATATGTTGTGTGTGTAAACAGATCTGATCGCTTAGTGGCACACAGTGGTATCAGGTCCTGGATCTAATTTAAACAATCTCTCAGGCATGACGTGAGAGCACGAGGGGAGCGATACCTGTACACATGTAATGCCACGCAGTATTTAAGTAACTTACGCATTATGTGTACTGAGGTCAGCATTCAGTGAGGCTGGGTAACTGTGGAAGGTATGTTCAGAAAAAGTGACAGACACTGCACAATGATGGTGGTGGTGGTGAAATATGCTTTCTGACATGTTTATATTTACGTATATGTTACTGGAGAACTTCCGGTAAGTGTAGTCACCCTGAACACTTCTGTACAAAGACCATGTGTGGTGGCTAACGTTAAACGTCTTCCTAGTCATCCTTGAAAGAAACCTTTCGAGATTAAAACATGTTTAAAGAATATGACGTGCCACATGTGGAAAATTCAAACCTTCCGTTCCGATATTTTCACAATAAAAGAGCCAAAAGCTTTATCAAATGTACTATTCACCTAAAATAATGTGTTTCATTTTTATAATGTTCAGATTAAATGATTTGTTTCATCGCTGTGTTGATAAATAGCATTACTAACAGCGTTTTTAATAGCTGTGCTTGGAACATATCTGTATGATCACCAAGGGGACAATAATTAGAAGTTACGAAATACGTTCATTTAATGAGACGAGTAAATTTAAGTATATATTCTGTAGTTTCATTAATTTCGGATACAACTTTGGACGAACTGCGGACGTCTTATTTTGAAGTTTTTCTTGGCTAGCTGGGTGCATCACTACACGCCAGCAGAGGGCGCCTTATTCTAGTCAAATCAACTCCAACCTACACTAATGCGGTTAGCTAGTCGGAAGTAGAGATTATTTCTACCGTGCCTGTGTGGCTTTGGATATATGGACAGACTCGTGTAATACAATGGGTAAGATTAAGTTTTATTTGATAGTGTTCGATAATGTTCTTCTCGTCTGAGTCACCAGCGTGTCAGTGGTGTTCCAGTGGGTCGCCCCAAAGTGACACTGAAGGAGATTTAGCCGGTGTACCCTGGCAAAGAAAGATAGCATTATAATGCTCAGTTTTGTTTAACTATGAGAGAGGAGTTAATTCAACGCTGTGGTCACTACTGACAACATAGTTTTCTGGTGGTTTGTTGGTAAGTTAGGTGTTTTAAATATATTGCCCCCCCATATACTGTATATAAAATTGACCAAAATTAAGTGCCAATCCGCACTGCTATACAGCACCACAAACGACACCATCGCTGTAGTGCTTTATTAACAACCTCAGTTTTAAAAAGAGCATTATGTTGGACACAGGTAACGGCTGTTGATTTCCCACTCACTGCTGTGACGAGTTTAGATTATTTTATATAAAATTACATGAAAAACAGACATTTGTGTTTCAATAAAACATTTTCACAGCAGCCATTTTGACAGGAAATAGTAGGGTAAACCACCGTAGTGTTACCAACTGGTTCCGTTCTATTTAGTGTAGCAAAGTCAGTGACCCAACAATAACACTGACTGTGCTTGACTAGAATGGAATGGAGCCTTATAGGCCCGATGGTATTTAAAAAATGCCTTTTAACCCTTTATGATCACATGACCAGTCATATTGTACTCCTGTTACATGCCTGTAACAATGTATGCAAAAACATTTACAATCTGTTTATTTTTATTTTTATATCGAAATCCTATAAAGGAAGGAAAAATCCTATATCCTATGAACCAACCAATTTTAACCATCCATAAGATGGATGTCACGTCTCCACTTTTTCGCACTAAACAAAAATTAAGCCAAAATATCCCGGATAAGGCTGCTGCAATCTTTCTCCACTTGGAGTCAGGGTCTAAGCAGTAGTGTTCGGGGTTGGCGATGCTGCATCAAAGTCCTGCCTATCCGCCCAACTTAATCGCACACAGACCTCGACTGTCATTCATGACAGGAAACCCCTTTTTATAACTTCAAATAACTTATTAAAACCAAACTTATCAGAAAAATCAACACGTGAACATAAATCAGTGTGATAAGAACTACCTAAAATGCCAGAAACCATCTTTGGGTATTCGACTTATACTTGAATTTTTTTAGTGTGTATACTCTCAAAAAGTTAGGGATATTCCACTTTCGGGTGAAATTTATGGAAAATGTAAAAAGTTGATGCTACAGTGATATATCATCAAAGTAGGGCATTTAAGTAGAAGGTCAAATTAAGATCACCTGGAAAGGTTATAGTGCATTTTATGTACATTCTGAAATTTCATCCGAAAGCCGAATATCCCTAACTTTTTGTGAGTAGTGTATAAAAAAAAACTAAGGAAGTGTTGCAAATAATTATAAAATCTAATTTTATTTTAGGCGTGATAACTGCCCTTAGGTAATTTTTCCACCAAGTTAGCTTTGGGTCTTGAACTGGTTCAATTCAAGATTCCTGGAACCTTGATGCTCTCTATCAAACCAGCCCACATTTCCACCAGTTTTGAGCAGAACCATTCTAATCAAGGATGTGTCATCAACAGAAGGATGCTTAACTAACTGTAGAATATCACACGCCCGCACAAGTTTCCAAGGAAAACATGTTATTTTTTGTTCTGAACCAATGTATTTTTTATCGAAATGTTCCAAAGGGTTCAAAATCCGGAACTGAGCTGGTTCCTTGTTGATGGAATAGGCCTTTCAGTGCATCACAAGGTGCATAGCCACCACCTTGTTTTTAACGCCAACAAAATTATACTTGACTGTCATTGGTGACCTCACTTTTTCCACAGTCTGTTTGGTGTGAGGACCGGGATCATGTGAACATTTTACAATGCTGTGCTGGTAAGCATCATTAGATATGCTATGGCATCATGGTATTGCACCTTTACAGTCCAATTAAACTCGAGAATTGAAAACATGATGAAAACACCTTCACACATGGAATATATCAATATGAATTATTACCATCGGATGAGCCAGTAAATGTACAAACAACCGGTCTAGTGTGTACGATTAGAGGCATCTATCGGTGTAGTTGCAGACGGCAGCTCACTTACTTCCCCCTTTCCAAATGCGAGGGAGAAACTAAGCTACGCTGTGAAAAAATGCAAATGGCGTTATCTAGAGCCAGTTTTTGGTTTGTTTGTTGAGGGTCATTGTAGACACATGGCAGTTCAATATGGCAATAACAATTCTTATTTGGTGATTATATGTATATAATCTGGTGATTATAATATATATTCCTCAATGTTACACAGTTGACCTTTAAAGCTTTCTTTCCTACCAACTTCTGTAATACTAATCAACAAACAACCAGCTCAATGCTCTCATAAGGAGGCACTGTTACATTCTATGCATTATAAATCATAGTTTTATGGTTTTCATGATTTCATTCCTCATTTTTGTAATGTCTGTATATCTTTCATTTGACATTTGAATAGGAGCTGGGAATGTCCTTGAACCACTTATTAATTAATTAATTAATGAATAACAAGCTGTGCCTGCTGAGCCATAGCTGCCCTTATTATGAATGTTACCCTGTCTCCTGTGTGTCCTCCATAGGGAACAGCAATAATGCCACAGCCCAGAATGATGCTGGTGGTGACAGGAGATGATTTCGGCTACTGTCCCAGGAGGAACCAGGGGATTGTGGATTGCTTCCAGGCTGGAGGCATTTCCAATGTGTCACTGCTGGTTAACGCATCTGCTGCCAAAGAGGCAGCAGATCTGGCTAAAAGGTAATAGGTGCTGACAAACTGCTGTTGTACTGTATGTAGAATCCTAACACACTTGACACAGGGCCTGGTACATCACTTGCTGTTTTAACAGATCTTGTGTCCATTGGTTGTTTGGTAATGTATTTTTCTTACTCCCTCACATAACTTAGCTTACTTTACCATACCTCAAGATTAGACTTTTGATATGCAAAGCAGCTTGGTTAATTGTAAGCAGAGCTTGCAATGTTGCAACTTTCTTGACCATGTGTGTAGGTAAAATGTTCTTTAAACATTTCCATGCTAAATACACATTACTGACAGTGTCCCAGCTATGCATATCTTCTGCCATTGTAAGTGGCAGGTGCAAAATCTGTTTATGGGTAATGCATTTTAGAGCGAAAAAAGCAAAAACAAATAAAGTAATCCCTTTAAGTTCCCTAATTTGAATATGTAACACCGTTACTTGTATTCTGTTACTCCTCAACGAACGATGTGACCTATCTCTTTTCTTGTCAGGCACAACATACCCATTGGTCTCCATGCCAACTTGTCAGAGGGCATTCCAGTGTGTCAGAGCCTCCAGCAGGCCTCCACTCTCATAAACCAGCGTGGCTTCTTCCATGGAAAGATAGGCTTCCGTCAGTTCCTGGAGAGAGGTCAGCTCAGCATGGAACAGGTATACTGCTCCAAAACCCGACTCAGGTTTCATGCTTGCATCAATGAGCCCACAGACCTGCACCTGATTCATCCAGATTTGGAAAATGTGTTTCTGCTCATATTCGTAAAGAAATGCAACAGAATTAATACAAATACAAAAGTCTGCAAATATATCACAAACTGTTCAATGATGTACTAATTAAACTCTTCTGTAGTGTGTTAACCAAACTTTCTTAGTCTGTTAGAAGGAAGAAAGAGGAATAAACAACGTGCAAAAATGTCTGTAAGAAAAACTGTAAGACTGAGAGATCATGCCCACTCATTTATAGAAAAACAATCACACTGACTCATTAATTGAATAGTTAGAACTGTAAACAAAGAGGCTGATTGTTGATGAAGTTATCAGTTAAAACTTCACACATTAAAAGACACGCAATTTTGTGTTTATATTCAGCTTCTCAACACAAATACCGGCTTGATACATGATAGTTGTCTGATACCATAGAATAACATGAGATTGAAAAGGTGACATCTCAAAAAAACATAAATAGGCAGTCCACAATGGAAAGGTACTCAGCAACAGTACTGTATGACAAAACACTGACATTAAAATGTTTACCTGTGTACCTTCATAAATTAGGTGGTTAAATTCATTCCAGTTGAGAACCGGTTCCAAATTCTCTGATTTATCAATGCCATATTTTTCTGCTAGTTGTATTATTACAATATGATGACATGGGGGCGGCTGTATGTGTGTGTGTCTATATATATATATATATATATATATATATATATACAGTTTTTACTGGTGCTGCTCTAATCATTAAAGTAAATCTTTAAAGAAAACTCATCAATACAACACACAATAAAACATCACCTGTAAAGCTCATGCTGTTAATGCTGACATAATTTAAAAGGCAATACAGGACCAGTTGAGGTGCAGCAAAGTTTGAATAGCTTGAAATATGCAAAACTGAAACAAATTACTCAAGGGGTGCATGCAAATCCGATCTTTTATGTGTTATTATTGTATGTGTTGGCTGCGGAGTATCCTATCCTATGTAGCATTCTAATGGGAGGATGTATTGGTTTTTGTGGTACAATACAGAGAGCAGTCAATACAGAGAGAAACAATACTCACCGACAGCACACCTACCTAGCTATCTATATAAAAAAAAAATAAGAGGCAGAATAATGGTGCGACAATCATGCCTTGAACAGGTTGCGTAAAAAGGGGCTAATGACTACCGACATCTATGGTCATGTAAAAGCGCTTTGAGTGGTGGGAAGACTAGAAAGGCGCTATACAAGTACAGGTCCATTTACCATTTACCATTACCATTACACAGATATTTAACAAACGATATACAAGCCAGACGTTTGTATTTTAAGATTGGAACAGTGTCGAAAATCAGGAGGAAACTATTAATTAAATCAATGTAAAATTGACAAAGATAAAATAAACAGAATAGGAACATAACTCAGATAAGGCAGTCAAAGAGCATTCATTTTCTACTGGTCTCTTTCCTATATCTTCCTTATTTTCCTAAACTACTCCTGTTTCCATGTCCTCTATGCTTCTCTCAATCATTGACTCATTAAATAAAATTAAACAGTGTATAAGTATAGGCTTCTGTGTGTGAGGTGTTGCCGAATCTTATTGAATTGTGGGAGTCTTTAAACATATTGTATCCTTTACAAATGTAATATACCGGTAAGATCACATAGCCACATTTTGGAGGGAGTAACCGTTGTTTCTTTCCATAACATAAGTAGTATTTTTTTTTTTGCAGTGATGAGGCAATAAGACAGGAATTGTTGAATCTTTGTAATTCTTCAGATACGCCAAGAATAATAATTGATAGTTCTGGTTCTGGTCCTGGTCTGGCTATACACTGGTTTAAGTAAGGGCTATGACGCATGCTCTGCTGCGGCGACACTGTCTGTACTTTCTGTCTGCTTTAGGGCCTGTCCTCACTAATACGTGGCCTCACCCAATACGATGTCGTTTCGAAAAAAATCTCCGTAAACACGGCGTCGTTTCCAGAAATATCTGCGTCCACACGGATTCACTGACAACGACCCAAAACGCTGTAGTACACTGTGACGCCACCACACCAATACACTAAAACCGGAAAAGAAGCCATGGAGCATGCGCTGTTTACAAACAAGTAGTAGTAGTCCGCCATTGTTGTTGTTGTTATGACGCGTCTAGCGGCGGCGGCTGAGGGTTAAAGGCGAGAGAGGCGGGAGCTAATACGTCATCGTTTCGGAAAAAATCTGTTTTGCCGTCCTGACGACTCCAGGCAATACGGCGTTTTTCGGATTTTCCCACTCTGGGACCCGTTTCCAAAAAATACCGATTTCACACCCCGAAAACCCCGTATCCATCTGGACACGAGGCCGATACGATAAAGAGGAGAGGCCCTAAGAGTCATACAGTCATAATAGTAAAAGTCACTTGCTTTACTGTCCATAAACAATACCTTATCAAACTGTCCCAACATATATAGTGACTCATAGTCATGTTTATGTTGAGTAATTCTGCATGCATACTTTACTTCTGCAAGTTGAAGTCAATAGCTACCAAGAGAAGAAGACAAAGTCATGTTTCTCCACTACAGTAACCTCCAGCTGTGTTTTTGCTCCCCAGGTGGAGCAAGAGTTGAGAGCCCAGGTCAGGCTGTTCAGAGAACTGACAGGTCACCTGCCCCACCACATGGATGGACACCAACACGTTCATGTACTGCCAGGTAATGTTTGTAATACAGTGTTTCCACTAGTATTTTTTTCAGGCCTGGTCGTACAAAAAACAAAAAAACAAGATGAGGGGTGTGGGATGGCACGTGGAAGCAATCCACAGGCATATTGCTGTATTCAATTCAATTTTATTTGTATAGCGCCAATTCATAACAGAAGTTATCTCAGGACACTTTTCAAATAGAGCAGGTCTAGACCGAACTCTTTAAAACATTAATTACAGAGACCCAACAGTTCCACCATGAGCAAGCACTTGGCGACAAGGGCAAGGAAAAACTGCCTGTTAAAAGGCAGAAACCTAGGACAGATCCTCCGGCTCTAGGTGGGTGGTCGTCTGTCTCGACCAGTTGGGGTGAGAGAGAGAGAGAGAGAGAGAGAGAGAGAGAGAGAGAGAGAGAGAGAGAGAGAGATGCACAGCAACAACAGTATTGGCAATGGCAATCAAGCAGGACCATGACAGGAGGCTCCACCAGGATCGACAAGAACCTGCGAGACGAGAAAGCACAAGAACTCCGGGGAAGAAGTGAAGTTAGTAACATGCATTAATGGGACATGAATGAGTGCAGAAAGAGAGAGGAAGGGAGGAGCTCAGTGCACCATGGGAAATCCCCCGATAGTCTAGGCCTATAGCAGCATTACTAAGGGATGGTTCAGGACTCACCTGATCCAGCCCTAACTATAAGCTTTATCAAAGAGGAATGTCTTAAGCTTACTCTTGAATATGGTGAGGGTGTCTGCCTCCCGAACCACAACTGGAAGCTGGTTCCATAAGAGAGGAGCTTGGTAACTGAAGGCTCTGGCTCCTGTTCTACTTTTAGAGACTATAGGAACCACAAGTAGCCCAGCATTCAGAGAATGTAGTGTTCTAGAGGGGTAATAGGGTACTATGAGCTCTTTAAGATATGAAGGGGCCTGACCATGAAGAGCTTTATAGGTGAGGAGGAGGATTTTAAATTCTATTCTACATTTTACAGGGAGCCAATGCAGAGAAGCTAGTACAGGAGAGATGTGATCTCTTTTTCTAGTTCCTGTCAGTACTCGTGCTGCAGCGTTCTGAATTAATTGGAGATTAATTGGCGTCTTAATGGATTTATTGGGGCAACCTGATAATAAGGAGTTGCAGTAATCCAGCCTAGAAGTAACAAATGCATGGATTAGTTTTTCTGTCTGTGACAGGATGTGTCTAATTTTTGTAATATTACGTAAATGAAAAGAATTTCAGTGTTGTCTGAGTTTAACATTACTAGCTTTACATTAATTTTTGGCTATGAGAATGACTTCATTAAGTAGGTGAAATAATGTCTTTTAACCACAGCGTATGTACTGTGTGTTGCAGAGGTGCGTGAGGTGTTTGCACAGGTCCTGTCTGATCTCAGGATTCCATATACCCGTGTTCCAATGGAGTCAGGTTTACGCAGCTGCCCCTGGTTACCTTCACACTTCCAAAGATTCTACACACAGGTGGAGAAGGACGCTCAGGACTCCATTCCTGTCTTCACACGATATGGAATCAGGTGTGTGTGTGTGTGTGTGTGTGTGTGTGTGTGTGTGTGTGTGTGTGTGTGTGTGTGTGTGTGTGTGTGTGTGTGTGTGTGTGTGTGTGTGTGTGTGTGTGTGTGTGTGTGTGTGTGTGTGTGAACAAAAAAAAAAAACAGTTCAATTAATCTTTTACATTTTTCCACAAGAGTTTTCACTAATCTGAAGGATTGGAGGAGGAGGCTGTCTGTGTTAATCTAGTCCTGCTGCCAGAAGATAAAAAATGCATATGCACAAAAATCATGCAAACACCATTTTCATTACATAAACTGGTATTAATAAAGAGGTGATTTCGCTGAGAATAGATTTTGGTTGCTAATAGCACCATGAATTGCACATCACTTGCAACCTGTCTGCCCTGTCTCAATGTCTGAGTCACAAAAGATTGTGCTAATGATATTACACCACAAACACGGCCAGATAGTTTTGCAGCTGAATGTAATGTGCCCTTGTTTTGCATCTGATTGCAGTTATCCATGTGGCAAAACTGACACAGTAGGCAGGACAATGGCTGAGAGGTATATGGCTGGACTGTGTATTGTCAGCTATAGTGTCTATAATGTCAATTCCTGGATATCCAATGTTTATTCTGCAGTTTTCTGTAGTGGTTGCAGTAATATTTGTTCTTAAGGTATACTGATATACTGTTACATGACAAGGTTAAGCTACATTTGAGTAAAAAAAATTAATTCAGCATTCTGAAGAAAATAATAATTTTAGTATTTATATTGAGGTACACATATATTCACCAGCACAGAGACCTGAAATGCTATGCAATCCTTTTGTGAATTTGCCCCAGAATGTGCAGTGAGACTGTGCGTATATCACACATCCAGTACTTTAGAGCAGCGTACACATACTTTTCGAGAGCAAGCTGAGTGTGATAAAATTCTAAATGCTAAGAAAACCAAATTCATGACGTTTTCAAGGGCTTGCTCCCAATCCCCAGGTAACACAACTATCAACACACTAAATAGGGGCTCAATTGAAAAAGTGACATCATATAAGTATTTAGGTATTTGGTTGGATGACAAGCTTTCCCTCAGTGCAATATATTACATGACATGAATTCATTGGTCCCACTAGGGGTTGCCAATGCCTCATCTGATAGACCAATGGCCAAACGCCAGGGACAGGAAAACACTGAATTTGTCAAAAAAAACGCCCGGAAGATTAATAAGTGTGTTTTGCTGCCAAATTTGCTCAAGGGAAAAACAAAACAGATGCAGAGTCGCTGCAGATCTGGAGCCAGCCACACTCTTTCTGAACAGCCCAATTGTAACTGACGTGAAAACAATGGATCGGATTGGGTCCAATATAGATCAACACATCAGTTAAAAAAGGACTTTAAGCCTTGATGTAATATAAACTTAATAAAAAAAATAAAAGAAATAATAGATCTTTTGAAGTTGTTGCTTGCTTTCAAATCAGTGGGAATTTCTGTTGTTGACTTAAATGTAGCTTAAACATCATCATGTCATGTTTTAATACACCAGAAGAAAAAATATTACTGACACTGATTATAGACATAACCTCTGACATACATAGTCCAGCATATACCAGGTCACCACCTGGTCTTTTTTAAAAAGCTCAGAGTAAATAACACAACACCAGCTGACAAATCTGTCTAGATTCTGTCTAGGTCTGCTCCTCACCATTAAATATTATTTTAAGTTAGATTACTTTACTTTGAAAAAACCTTCTTGTAATGTTGGTATGTGTTATTTAATGTTCATCTATGACTATGTTTGTCATTCAAGTGTTGTACTTAAGGGATGGAGTGATTGTCTGAATAGTTCTTCATAGTCTATGGCTGACAAACACTAATCAGGGTCTAAACCTTTTCCATGTCCACAGGTGGCCAGACATGTACCTGGGACTGACCACCATGGGCCAGAACATGTCTGTCCCCAACCTGCAGAGGGCTCTCAACCAGGCCTTGGCTTTAGGCTCATCAGGCACTACCTCCAGCAATGCATCAAGCTCTAATCGGCCTGTGGTCACAGCAGAGCTCATGGTCCACCCAGGTTACCCTAGTCACCCCCAGGAAGGAGGCTGTGGAGAGGGCCCTGATGACTTCTCCCAGTCAGCTGACAGACAGCATGAACTGAGCATGCTCAGTGACCCGTCCCTGTTGGCCTTCTACAGCCAGAAGAGAGTGCAACTGTGTGCCTTCAAAGACCTCTGAGTCCTGCTGTCCAAAGAGGACAAACTGTAGAGAGCCAAAGTGAAACCCAATTTCATAGAATCTGTTCCAGAGGTAAAAACCAAACAAACCAGAATTCAGAGTCACACTGACATGTAATAACACAAATTACTTTAGATCCACCCAATAACATAACTCTAAGTAACAGTATGTTACTGGGTCACTCTACACTACTCACAAAAAGTTAGGGATATTCGGCTTTCGGATGAAATTTCAGAATGTACATAAAATGCACTATAACCTTTCCAGGTGATCTTAATTTGACCTTCTACTTAAATGCCCTACTTTCATGATATAATATCACTGTAGCATCAACTTTTTACATTTTCCATAAATTTCACCCGAAAGTGGAATATCCCTAACTTTTTGTGAATAGTGTATATGTCTAGAAAGGGATGGGAGCGGCTGTCTCAAAGGCAGAGCGGGTCGTTCCTTAATCAGAAGGTTGTGGGTTCGAGAATTGTGGGAAGGTTGTTCTTTATGTAAGCCATACATACAGATCAATATATTGCACTATCCACATGCCCTTCATTGCACATAATTATTACAACTTGGGTTTTTATGAGGTAGTTTTATTTATAATCATACACTGCATCCACCAAGTACAGGGTACTAACTGAATCATATTTTATGGAGAAAATATTTTCTGGTCCTCCAGTACTCTGGCTGCTCTGCTTTAACTTTAAGTGACTTAAGTTCCCTGATGGAAACATAGCCATAGCTACTTGTTGTTAGCACCAGGGCACTGTGTGTTTAGAAAATAGTAACTAAACCCTAAAACCACTCTTTTCTGCTGAAAACATCTGTGTGTGTGTGTGTGTGTGCGTGTATGCATGTATATGAAAATGAAATGGGCAGCATAAGAATTTGAGTGTCTTTGACAAGGGTCAAATTGTGATGATGACGACTGGGTCAAAGCATCTCCAAAATTGCAGCTCTTGTGGGGTGTTCCTGGTCTGTAGTGGTCAGTACCTATCAAAAGCTCAAATTGCTGAAAAGGTTAAAGTTGGTTCTGATAGAAAGATGTCAGAACACAATGTATGTCACAGTTTGTTGCATATGGGGCTGCATAAAAAAAAAAATATATATATATATATATAAAAAAATTATATATGGGAGAGATCAACATCCCACATTGGAACATTATATACAGTGGGTACGGAAAGTATTCAGACCCCTTTAAATTTTTCACTCCGTTTTATTGCAGCCATTTGCTAAAATCAAAAAAGTTCATTTTATTTCTCATTAATGTACACTGAAATATCACATGGTCATAAGTATTCAGACCCTTTGCTCAGTATTGAGTAGAAGCACCCTTTTGAGCTAGTACAGCCATGAGTCTTCTTGGGAATGATGAAACACCCTTTTTTTTTCCACACCTGGATTTGGGGATCCTCTGCCATTCTTCCTTGCAGATCCTCTCCAGTTCTGTTAGGTTGGATGGTGAACGTTGGTGGACAGCCATTTTCAGGTCTCTCCAGAGATGCTCAATTGGGTTTAGGTCAGGCCTCTGGCTGGGCCAGTCAAGAATGGTCACAGAGTTGTTCCGAAGCCACTCCTTTGTTATTTTAGCTGTGTGCTTAGGGTTATTGTCTTGTTGGAAGGTAAACCTTCGGCCCAGTCTGAGGTCCTGAGCACTCTGGAAGAGGTTTTCTTCCAGGATATGTCTGTACTTGGCCGCATTCATCTTTCCTTCAATTGCAACCAGTCGTCCTGTCCCTGCAGCTGAAAAACATCCCCAAAGCCTGATGCTGCCACCACCATGTTTCACTGTTGGGATTGTATTGGGCAGGTGATGAGCAGTGCCTGGTTTTCTCCACACATACCGCTTAGAATTAACACCAAAAAGTTAAATCTTGGTCTCATCAGACCAGAGAATCTTATTTCTCATAGTCTGGGAGTCCTTCATGTGTTTTTTGGCAAACTCTATGCAGGCTTTCATATGTCTTGCACTGAGGAGAGGCTTCCGTCGGGCCACTCTGCCATAAAGCCCCGACTGGTGGAGGGCTGCAGTGATAGTTGACTTTGTGGAACTTTCTCCCATCTCCCTACTGCATCTCTGGAGCTCAGCCACAGTGATCTTTGGGTTCTTCTTTACCTCTCTCACCAAGGCTCTTCTCCCACGATTGCTCAGTTTGGCTGGACGGCCAGGTCTAGGAAGAGTTCTGGTCGTCCCAAACTTCTTCCATTTAAGGATTATGGAGGCCACTGTGCTCTTAGGAACCTTGAGTGCTGCAGAAATTCTTTTGTAACCTTGGCCAGATCTGTGCCTTGCCACAATTCTGTCTCTGAGCTCCTTGGGCAGTTCCTTCGACCTCATGATTCTCATTTGCTCTGACATGCACTGTGAGCTGTAAGGTCTTATATAGACAGGTGTGTGCCTTTCCTAATCAAGTCCAATCAGTTTAATTAAACACAGCTGGACTCCAATGAAGGAGCAGAACCATCTCAGATCAGAAGAAATGGACAGCATGTGAGTTATATATGAGTGTCACAGCAAAGGGTCTGAATACTTATGACCATGTGATATTTCAGGTTTTCTTTTTTAATACATTTGCAAAAATTTCTACATTTCTGTTTTTTTCTGTCAAGATGGGGTGCTGAGTGTACATTAATGAGAAATAAAATGAACTTTTTTGATTTTAGCAAATGGCTGCAATGAAACAAAGAGTGAAAAATTTAAAGGGGTCTGAATACTTTCCGTACCCACTGTATGACAAGAAAAGCTATACATCTCCCATTTAACAGTCCGTTGTTTGTTGTAAGGGCCCATTTCCTGCTTCAACTTTAACTTACTGTAGTAAAGCACACACAGTTGTCCCGTGCAATGAATGATTATTAAGAACATTTTAAGTATGGTAACTTTTAGATACATACGTGGACAAAATTGTTGGTACCCTTCCATTAAAGAAAGAAAGAAAAACCCACAATGGTCACTGAAATAACTGACAAAAGTAATAATAAATAAACACTTACTGAAAATTACCTAATGACAATCAGACATTTCTTTTGAATTGTGGTTCAACAGAATCATTTTAAAAAACAAACTAATGAAACTGGCCTGGACAAAAATTATGGTACCCCTAGAAAAGATTGAAAATAATTTGACCATAGGGACATGTTAAACTAAGGTGTGTCCTGTAATTAGCATCATAGGTGTCTTGTAATCAGTCAGTCTGCCTATTTAAAGGGTGAAATGTAGTCACTGTGCTGATTGGTATCATGGTGTGTACCACACTGAACATAGACCACAGAAAGGGAGGAGAGAGTTGTCTCAGGAGATTAGAAAGAAAATGATAGACAAGCATGTTAAAGGTAAAGACTATAAGACCATCTCCAAGCAGCTTGATGTTCCTGTGACTACAGTTGCACATATTATTCAGAAGTTTAAGGTCTACGGGACTGTAGCCAACCTCCCTGGACGTGGCCGCAAGAGGACAACTGATGACAAATTGAAGAGACAGATAATACGAAACAACTTCCAAAGAGATTAGAGGTGAACTCCAAGGTCAAGGTACATCAGTGTCAGATCGCACTATCCATCGCTGTTTAAGCCAAAGTGGACTGAATGGAAGACGACCGAGGAGGACACCACTGTTGAAAGCAAATCATAAAAAAGCGAGCAAAATGCATATTGACAAGCCAAAGCTTCTGGGAGAATATCCTTTGGACAGATGAGACAAAACTGGAGCTTTTTGGCACATGAGCCCTATGTTCACAGACACAAAAATGAAGGATACAAAGAAAAGAACACTGTACCTACTGTGAAACATGGAGGAGGCTTGGTTATGTTCTGGGGCTGCTTTGCCGTATCTGGCACAGGTTGTCTTGAATCTGTGCAGGGTACAATGAAATCTCAAGACTTTCAAGGCATTCTGGAGTGAAAACAAGAATGGCTAAGAGCAAAACATTGGACTATTCTGAAGTGGCCTTCTATGGGCCCTGATCTAAATCCTATTGAACATCTGTGGAAGGAGCTGAAACATGCAGTCTGGAGAAGGAATTGTTATTTATTTTTACTTCAGTTTCAAGTTATGTCAGTGACCATTGTGGGTTTTTCTTTCTTTAATGTAAGGGTACCAACAATTTTGTCCATGTGTGTAAAGATCATTTTCTGGCAAATTTGCTGAAACTCTCTTCATACTATATCCTGCAGTAGTATATGAGTGTCATTGTTATGTAAGGTGGAGGGATGCTTTTCATTGATCTCAGGTCTGTGTAGCACCAGTAGCACTTAATATCAAATCACCTAGAATGTTATTTTAACATTCACATTTTAAATCACCTGTAACAGTACAGTATGTTTGTAATATTTATAGTTGTTTATTGGGTATTTGAAATCTTATATTTTGATAAAGTTTCTGTTGAAACTTTTTTATGCATTGCTATATTTTAATTGTTACAAAGATCATAAATGAACAGATTGCAAATCCAACAATGTGAGCTAATAAATCAAGTCAAACTAACAGTCTGATGTTTCTCTTTCTGTCTACTCTGAATTTTCAGTGAGCCCTTATCACCGATGTCACATCCAGTGTCTTCTTTATCTTTATCATCTGACTCAAAGAGTGGGAAAAGTCCAAAAAAGTCAAAGCACAGTACCCTTTAGTAGAGGATGTACAGTCCAAGGACCAAGAAACCTACAGCATTGTTACTGGATGTCCATCAACATGGCTCTGAATTGTCATGTATTTCGGATACTGCACGATGGAGTTCAGTGTCACTTCCTGTGTCCAATATGTGGGACTAAGGAATACACACTAATTAGGGCCCAAGCCCTAACCATGCAAAGGCCCTATTTTAATTCTACATTATGTTCCAGAATATCAAGTGTAGACCACACAAGCGCATGAACATTTCTTGTAAATTGATGATTTAGGCTTACTTCCTGTTGCCAGTAGGAGGCGCTATGACTTTGACTACATATTAGCTGTAGATGTGTTCAAATTGGGACTCTTATCAAATGTAAACTGAGGGCGGCTGTGGCTCAGAGGCAGAGTGGGTTGTCCAAGAAGATACTGAACCCCAAATTGCTCCTGATGCTGTGCATCAGTGTGTGAATGTGTATGAATAAGTTAGTTTCTGTTCGATGGGCTTTGCCATCGCTGTGTGAATGTGTGTGAAAGGGTAAATGTGGCATGTAGTGTAAAATTATTGAGTGCGCATGCGCGAAAGCTGCTTGCTGTACGTCACTCCGGCTTCTGAGTCCGTTTTTTGACTTCTGATTCAGATTTCTGAAAAGCGGTTTTGAGTGGTCGGAAGACTAGAAAGGCGCTACACAAGTACAGGTCCATTTACCATTTACCATTTCATAGCGAAACACTGAAATTCAATGCCATGGACAATGAAAACTCAAACTTACTTTAAATAGAACAAAAACAATAAATTGTTTTGCATAACATAACATAAAATAAATTATCATTATTATGGACCGATAATTTATCGGCTGTAATTTAATTATTGAGATCATTTATAATAATACACATTTCTCATTATCAGCCCATAATTGAGCTGCCCAAATAATTATTATGCTTTCAGTACTTGCAGTACTTACAGTATACAATATGTTCTGTACTAAACTGTGAATATATATTTCATCATCTTTTTTTTGAAAATGCAAAATTTGTTTATTATACAGAATAAAAATGTTTATCGTTTACATTTATTGTATTATATTCAATGTATTACAATAATAGTAGAGAACAACTGAACTGTACAACGAACCAAAACAGTGAACACAATAATTGCAGGACATTTGTGTAAAACAAGGAATTTTTAGCAAATTATTTCCTGTGAATATTGATCAGAGATGAGTTTTCCAGATATTTGTAGGAACTTTTTATACAATTCTGTCTGTATTATGTACCTTTAAAATGTATAAAACACATTTTGCTCAAAATACTGTACTTTTAACTAACATTTTTAATACAGGACTTTTACCTTAAATATATTTTTACCTTGCTACTTTTACTTAAGGAACTGAATACTCTTTTAAGTTATCTTACAGATACTGTATGCTAAAAGAATGCTTCTGTACTTTATTTTTTTTTTTTGTCTGCATAAAATAAGCGGTCCTGCCAAAGCAAAATGCATAATAACAATTAAAGCTGCAAGCAGCATTGGGCGGGACTTCGTACTACACGCAACCCGGGGTGTGAAAGTATAAGACTGTTGCCACTAGGTGTCGGATCATGTACGCAGAAGTTATGACAACTTTCTGTTTTCGTGGCAAAGGTTCGAAATTGGATGCCACGGAACGCCACGCCCACGCTGTTGGACGGAATGTCGTTAATACTTTTAATTGTGAATGTCTTTAGATGACTGTGTCCAAATGTGGAGATGATCCGGTAATTCCCTGCATGCAATGCAACGGCGAAAATCGCCAGAAATGACCACAAAATCCAAAATGGTCGACTTCCTGTTTGGTTTAGGTTATGGGTCCAAGAGGCTTTTCTGCTTCTTTTATCAAGATACACATGCGTACCGATTTTCGTACGTCAACCTTACGCGTCTTGGGGGCTGATTCGGGGGGGCGCACAGGGACAATTGCATACTTTGGGCTCTCAAACGATTGAATTTTGTGGAAATTTCCTCGGGCTTCCGAGCAAATATGCAGTCCAACAGGCACCAAATATTAATAATAATAATTCCTAGAGATACAATAGGGACCTTCCAGCAGTCGCTGGCTTGGTCCCTAATAATGACATCTACATACAATCTAGTGATCGTAACACAATTAAGCTAGCAGTTTTGTTTTGTTTGTAGTAGTTAGCATAAGCTAGCAAACAAGTCATTTTTGCCTATTTATATCTTTCTCGTAGCCTAACTAAATCTTTCTTACCTTGATCTTAGTGTTTGCATTCCAAAAGCACCTACATTTTACCTTGAGAGTAATGAGCTTCTTCACAGCTAGCTGCAACACAATTTGCTTAAATTCTTATTAAAGTTACTGTGTGTGTGTGTGTGTGTTATTTTGATGACAGATATTAATGATTACTGCCCTGCAGACATAACACTAACTCTAGAGCTTTAACACTCTAAAGGTACTCTGCCTGTTTTGTTGTGCATCAAAGTGAAGTTACTGTTTACCTTGCTGGATTTACAGTGTTATGCCTTTTGAGTGTTTGAGGGAAGAAAGACAAAGAACCTTAACTAATGTTGAGGTATTCTGCCTTGGTTTTTCTGGGGGTTTTGGAAGTTGTGGTGAGCACAATCAACAATTTTCTCCAAAAAACAATAAAATTGACAAGATATTTGTCCAAATGATAAAGGATAGTTGATTATCAAGTTTCATTCCCTGTGTAGACATTTGACAATGCAACAATCAAATATCTTTCTTGCCTTAGTGGCTGTGTTTATTCAGCCGCAGTGGATTCTTGTTCAGTTAGTTGATATCTGCAACTTCACCGCTGTATGCCACTAAATCCTACACACTGGTCCTTCCAGTTCACTTCAAGTTGATTTCTAACAAATGGAGCTGGGCGATAAATTGCCTAATTCTAATTTGAATTTTAATATGGTGTAAAATCAAGATTTAAACCATAGATGTTACAATACAGCGATATACAGCAGCTAAGGACTGTAAAATAAACCCCAATCCACTCAAATCACTCATTTACACAAAATGTGTAGAGTATCATTTTCCGATAGGATCCCATTTGGCCCCAATGAGAAGACATTACAGATGTGGTGGTGTTACATATCACCAAAGATATGGTCTATTTATGGTGTTTGTTTTTAAGAAAAATCTTTAATTTCTAAGGTAAATCAGATGTGAGATCCACCACCCCTACTATCAACACATCTTGATGGGTTTGGATTAGTTCTACCCTTCCGTTCAGTCATCAAAAGCTAAACGCATGCAACATCCACTTGACTATCAGGCAGACAGTGAGGCCACATGGTTAACCATCTTTAATATGAAACAATATTGGGACCAGATCAAACAGTTGTTACATGGTGGTTTTTTGGCCACTGCAGTCCCTTTCCATGTCCTGACACATCCCCAGACAGCCAGCCCTCTCCCAGCTGCCTTCATGGTGCCTGTTTCTAGGAACGCTTCCAGGAGCTGAGCTTCATTCCAGCTGAGTGCATCCTTCTCCAGCTTCTCCTTCCTCCCTCCCGACAAGTTAGGTCCCCTTAAGCTGGGCAGCTGATAGTCGGTCTGCCACTGGAATATGTCTTAGTGTGGTGAAGGACTCAGTTTCTAGTATGATAGGTGGTTATACTGGGATGCCCAATAGTGGGAAAGGAAACGTGCGTGAAAGATTCAAATTAACCGAACAGGTTCTTCCCACATTGACAATTTTCTATATCAAGTGCCAATCAAATCAATTTGAAGTGGAGAAATGATCATTAATCAGGAAAATAGAATCACAATAGCTATTTGTCATGCAGGAAACTGTTTTAAGAGCATGGTCTTAAGAGTGCAACTCATCTGCAAAAACCCAAAAATGTACAACTGAGAAAATGTGGTGATGGTGCTGTTCAATTTGTCTTTAAAAGGGCCTGCTGATGATAGATACATGTTTGGAAACCACATTGTTTTACTTGTTTTATATGTTCTTTAGCATATTCAGCAATAACAATTAAACTCAAGCATGGCCTACCATTGTTTGTTCCTGCTCAGTGGGTTACCAACTGTGGGGAAGAAGATGTGAGGGGGATTGTCCCACAGAGTACAATGCAAGTCTAGAAGCAGTGGAGGTGAGGACCGAAAACATTTCAGTCAGCACACACCTCCAGGTCCTATCTACAACTTCTCTTATTTCTATCACCTTTCTTTATTCAGCTTTAAAAAGATTGATGATGGGGCCCAAAAAAAAAGAAAAAACTGCAAAAAATATACTTTGGAAAACAAAAAGGGAGATCTTATATAGAGGAAGAGCCAACCGAAATGAACACATTACTGAGTATTTCCATCTTACATTTCATCTGAACATCATGTTCCCTTAGCATTTCTTTTTCCATTTTTCACATTAAGAAAAGAGTAGAAAGTTAGAAATGGTCTGGAGATTTATGGCCATGGAGGAGGAGGAAGAATAGGAGGAAGAGGAAGCTGTCTGATCCACAGAGAGTCCTGGATGGGAAGGGAAGCTAAGGCTACCTCTGCCTGGCTTCAGCTGGGCAGCTCCTGGGCTGCAGGAGGACTGGTGTGGGGGACAGGGGAGGAGGGTGAGCAAGGAAGGTGGTGAGGTGTAAGGGAGGGCGAGCGGGGAGGCGAGAGGAAGATTGGTATTTGGGCAGGTGAGATAGGAGGAGAGGGGGAGAAAGAGACAGAGAGGGCTACACGCTAGTCAGGTGATCAGTCCATTGGCCGCTTTTCGCCATGTTTCTTTGTAAACTCTTCAGCGTTCTTCAAGAATTTTTTACGGTCCTTTGAGTATTCTTCTGCTAGATCTGCCCTCAGGGGATGCTCCGGTTGGGGGTCATTCACCAGCGCAATGAGGGACTGAATTACTGCAAG